CAAGAACGTCTTTTATCACTAAACAATAATAAAAATAAAAACAAATGAACGTTACTTTCGTTAATCGATAATAGTAATTCATTCATGCATAAATAAAATAATGGGCATCATAGAAATACAATTATTTCAATTCATTTAGGATATTATACGAGGAATACAAAATGATTTAACCTAACTAAATATTTTCGACAGTTTACTCCAAACATTCATTACCATTTTTAATTGATATAAAACTTTGTTGACTGAAGTCTGAGTGTTCTTTGTTTCAAATTAAATTATACAAATAATTAAAATATTTACTGTAAAATTAGAGCAATTGGAATAGAAGCGACTGAGTACCTAATCTCAATTCAATATAAAAAAAATCATGTTTTTTTATCTACTTTCATCGATGAAGAAGATACATCTAACAAAATCCTACAAATTTTACGACTACGCTTACAAAATCTCGTCTACGAAATCGCTGCTATGAAATACTTTCGTAGCTGAGTCAACAGCGTAGTCGCTACGATACCAGATTTCGTTATATTACATTCTGTTAAGCTTTTATGCAAATAGTTTATAGTCTTTCTACTTGGAGCATTCAGAACTCTATAGCGCAGTAGATGGCAACATTAAGTCAGCGCGATGCAAGGATCGCGGCGGCATGTCGTGACTATTATAATATGTGTATTATAGTTTCTTTCTTGCCATCGGTCATACAAGTGATGTTGGCGCGATGTTGCCACAGACTAACATGTAAATACTTTACAATTCCAACTGAGACATTTAACTGCATATCTTTTGAATGCAGTTATGATACAATTAACATCCCGTCTGTTTTATTTAATGAAGAATATTTTAATTACTTCTGCCCAAAGCGGCTACATAGCTGCAATATCTCTACGTAAGTTGATTACAGATTTAAGCCTCAAAAAAATTAGGAAATTAAGGAAATCTACAGTGTCCGCCCTTATAACTTTCAACTCATAATAATAGCATAATCTAATTTAATTCATTCGATACTACAGAGACAGATTCGCAGAAATGGGAATAAAGCTTTATGAGGAGTTAAGTTTGATTTCTCTAAGGCTCTCATTTGAAAAGTAATAATTAATGTTATGTAGTAACTCAGATTATAGTCAACAACTATTTGTAATACATAATTCTGCAGCATTCAGTAGTAAAATTAATAAACGACTCAATTTATGATTTAGCTAACTCAAATTCTGGGAATTTCAAACAATTTGCCCACAATCGACAGTATGTTTAGTTACTACCAAAGCCTGACTTCTTCTATGGATTATAAGCCTTAACATATTGATAACTCAGTTTAAAATTGGTAGCTGAAGTATGGCTTATTATATTAATCTAATGTGCTTGCGGTGTACACATATCTCCAGAATCTTATACGAATTTAGACTTAATACTTTTTCATCATAAATATATTTTCGTATAAAATACATATTTTTCATAAATAAGTTCTACATCATTTTCCTTTTCTATATCATTTATCTATGATCTTTTTGCTTTGCTTCTATTTGTTAATGAATTTGTTTTACAAAAGTTACCCACTTTCATTAAATCCAGATTGTTTAGCAGGCGATCATAAAAGGTCTGTCACAGCATAACAGGTTAAATCAAATAAAACCTACTTCAGAAGGTAATAAACATTTAATTTACTTGAATCTCTTAACCTGTAACAACTCTCTGTTCGACGCTGTATTTTACAGAATAGCAAAGGAGAATAACTGAGGATATAAATGAATAATTGTTTTAGATATACCTATCCTTCAAATTAAGCCCTAGTTTGTAAACCAGACATTTTAGTGAATCTTATTAAATACTAAAAACTATGTATTGTTAAACAACGGTAGAGTAGAACCAACATTACTTTTGTATCAAGCAAGAGATGTTTCGTAAGGTTTTATTATACTCTATTTTCATGTAACGTGTCACATGTTCGGTTAAGGAGCTTATCTTACTTCGTACTCATAAGGATTAAAGGTATTATGTTAAACAGACTAGTAGAAAAGTTTGTCTATTAACGTAAACGTATCTACACCACACACCTAAAAAAGAATAATAAAAAGAGCGGATGTAAAAGCCAGTTTACAAATAAACTTCTATAGTAAGAGAAATTAATAAATTAGTTCCGCAATCATTATTATAGAAAATGCCTGTAACGTTATTAACGTCATATCTACATTCACCGTTTAGAGAACCCCAATGCATAGCGAAATTAATGAGGTGACCTTGTACAATGCTTTATAGCTATCGGCCGACCCTTGTTTTAGGGGTCATGGTCACGAAAAGGCCTCGTCTAGAGCACGTCCGCTCACATCCGCGGTCGGTGCTCGAATGGAGTATCGCCGGGGTGGGGGAATGTTTACCCTACTCCCCCTACCGTGCCAGCTGAGCAGCGGCACGCTATATTTAGGTTGCGCTGTAAATATTCGCTCCAAGTACGGAAAGCCACCTTTTTCACCCGGAGGTAGGGGAAAAAGGGGGACGACACGCTCGCAACACAATCGGGTAAAAGTTGAAAGTTCACAACGCCTCGTACACCGTTCACGCTGTTAGGAAACGGTTTCTTTATTTAAATTCTATTGCAACTTGTTCAACATTGTACTATACCAGGCTGAATTTGCAGTGTCAGTTTCTATTTTTGATTTCACCTTGAACATTTTTTTTCCACAGAAATTGTAGGCGTGATTGTTTCTGAGTTTTCGGGTCTTCATTTCCAACCCTTTTTGGGTGATGCAGGGAATTCTTTATTTTTATTGCAGCAGTCCAATTTGGCACAAACAAGCTTTCGAAGTTGTAAACAAAAATGCGTCTGCGGCGACACCCTTTTTTTAAATGAAACCCGTGTCATTCTCGTCAAATGAAATTGAAACGGATTACTCGGAGCGTGATGGGCCGTTTGCATGCCAATCTAATTTGAAATGTCATCATCTTTTTGTATGTCAATTTTGTCTTCGGTAAAAGCTTTCAGATCGATAATAATGTTGAGCATTAGCTCACTCAATTTATCCCCGAGGCATTGAAATACAGCCATACGTCTATTTATTGCGTAAACTAATCAATCTTGTTTATTTGTACGCGAACATTGAGATCACTCGGGCTTTTTCGAATTACATATTTAGAATTACATCTTTTGAGATAAATTTTATTTGTTACGTTTTCAAATTTTGAAGTTGGTTTTACTTTTTGAAAAAAGGTTATTGGTATTTTAAGAATAAATCGATTAACATACCTACTTTTATAAAAATATACATACTCCTTGAACATAGAAATTTCGGATTTAGAATGAATTCCAAATACACTATCTTTTGTTTTTTAGTTGGAAAAGACCATGGCCATATCAATTAAACATTTGGGTGGTATTTGATAAGCGTATTTTGATTTGTATAAAAGAAAAACTAAAAATTTAAATGGGACACATTTAAATTTTACCGATATCAAACCTCGGTCCATTAAACTATCGAATAAAAAAATAATTTAAAATTGGTCAAAATTTCCGGAAATATCGGTGAACATACATAAAAAAAAATACATCGCCGTCGAACATACAACCTCCTCCTTTTGGATATTGAAGTCGGTTAAAAAACAATCAACACCTTAGTCTTAGTCACATGAACACGGAACCTGTAAAGGGTCCGAAACGTCAATAAAACTAAATACAAAGGCGATGAAACCGTTTAAGAGTTTAAAATCAATATATAATAATTTATTTGATACCTACTATTAGCTTTTATATTACTTTAAAACACACGGCTTTATTTTAACATATAAGAGTAGACTCAACAAACTTCTTGCCGCCAATATCGTATCGTTTTGCTTGGAAAGATACTTTTATTGGTAAAAGAATTTTTAAAATCGGCCGATTAGCAATTTAATATATCTGTTTGTAATTTGACAAATCTTTTTTATTTTATTTCGTGAAATGCGTTAAGAAAGTTTTATTAATAGATATTAATTTATGAAATAGAACCTAGATAATAACATAGAATAGCTACCAACCCTAACTCTCATTTACATTAAGATTATCAGTATAATTTTTCTACGATTAACAAAACCTTGATAAATTAGTATATATGTAGGTTAGTAACATAAATTAATAATCATAAAAAAAAATTATAAGGTAGAACAAAGATCTTTGAGTGTTGCTTTTGTCATATTTAGTTATATGAGTAGTTGAATGAGTATGTAGGGGAGTTTGAACGTGGCACTAGTATTTGAAAAACCGAAAGGTAAGAAAGAAAAATCTTAGATCAAACTTTTCATAGTTTACAAAAAGATCTTCAAAGCACAAAATCTTCGTCGTCCAGACCAATTTGTTTTACCACAAATACGTTCCAATTGTGCTTAGAGAAGCTTACATCCTTCCAATAAAGTATGTAAGCTGATTTAACAGCCTTAAATCGAAACTCTCGGATCATATGATTGATAATAATAAACTATTTATTTATTTTCTCCATTTTTAACACACTAAAACCCATTGAACTACTGCCTCCGTGTTCATGGTTGTATTAATTTTAAACGATGATTTTATGTAAGTGATTTAGCATTAAGAAAAATATCTTAGAATATAAAATATGTATTCTCATACATAATTTTTTGTTTTTACGATATGAAATTAAATGAACGATCCAGTAACAGAGAGAAATGAAAATACAGAATACAAACAAACAAATAAATTGAAACCAGTGCAGATAAATTATTATCACTACATAAAAAAACTTAAGTATAAAACAAAGTCGCTTTCTCTGTCCCTTTATCCCTATGTATGCTTAAATCTTTAAAACTACGCAACGGATTTTGATGCGGTTTTTTTTCATAGATAGAGTGATTCAAAAGGAATGTTTTTATGTATAAAACAAGACCACGCGGGTTAAGTCGCTGGCGGAAAGCAAGTAAGTAATAATGAATGGAACTAAATACACAGAAACACTTTTTATTTTAAATCACATCGAGAAATTAATTGAATAGAAGTTCACTGAATAAAGAAGTAAAAATCAACAATTGATAGTACTTTTAGTATTACTCTGAGTCGGCAGTGCCGTATTCTCGAAGGCTGAATATATACTAGTAGCGTCATCATCGTGAAACAAAGTAACGGATTTGTTGTAATTGTATTCGTCATCTGGCGGTCCTTCGTACTTCTCATGCTTGGGGTCGTGGAAGGTGACGATGTTGAATACAGGTGTTGTACCACCGAATGCTATGCGCTCCTCGAAGCTGGCGACGGCGAGCACCGTCCCAGCGGCAGGGTAAGAACAAGCGATGTACCTCAAGAAACAAAGTTGTAAACTATACTTTCGTTTTACTTTGAAGGTTTCTTTAATCGAACTCTCTAAAACTATTCTGCTAAAGGGTTGCGCGGAAGCTTGTAAGGTTTTACGTATTTTTTTTATTTTGACACAAATAGTCATTACAATAAAGTGTCATCTTTTAATAAATATAAAAAAAAACGAATAGTTTCCAGAATGTAATACCCACTGGTGGAACTTAGGAACACTTTGGATTGAATCTTATCAAATCGAATAGAGATAATAAGCCGTGAACCACCACGGGGACCCAGTAAGGTGGTTGGTGGGTGCTATTGAGGCAGATGCAGCCGGTACCAACGGCTCAACGTACCTTCCAAAGCACGGAGGAGCTCAACATAATAAATGTTTGGTCACCCGTCCTATGACCGGCCCCAGCGAAAGTTTCTTAACAACTAATATCGCAGATCGAGCGCGCTAACCACAGCGTCATCGATCACTATCTTATTAGTTTGTTATTATTTAAAAGAATATAGAAATAAAAACATTACCAATGAATACTATAAAATATATTGTAACCTTTTTTGGGCAATATTCTTGTATTATTAATAAGACTATTAGATTTCTATTAACACGACTGAGTTATCCTCTTAATGGATTCCAGGTTCGATTGCCGATTGTAGAAAATGAACTTTCCTAATGCTATGCAAACTCCGTTTTTTTTTCAAATTTCTTATAACCTACGTAGTTTAGTATCTGCACAAGGCTGGGTGTTAATGACTGCATATGCAGCTGATGTCAACGATTTAACATGCCTTCTGGAAAACGAAGGAACTTATAATATTAAATTTTTGGTCACCCATCCCATGACCGACCCTTGCGAAAATCATTTAACCTCTGCATAGTGCAAACCCAACACCAAACATTGTGCAATCGAGTTCATCGAGTTGGTACATACTGATTTCAAAAGTAAAATAGTTATGCATTAGATTCCATTTACCTAACATAATATGTACCTGTTATGAAAACCTACTCACCTATTGTGAAGATTAATAACTTCAACACATTTTGTGCCACTGCCACCGATGATGCAATATTTTCCCTTTCGATTATACTAGAAAAAAAAAGTTTAGAATTAGTAGTATATGTGAAGAGTAAGACTTTAGTAATATCAAATGAAATCGAGATCGTTAAAGTCTCAGTACCATCATTTCGTTAATCAACGCAGGAAAACTAAGCACCTATTCAAAAGAGTTCTTTTTAGTTTTAAAATTCGAGAAACTACAAACATTCAACATTTTTTTTTTTTTCAAAAAGACATAGGTACGTTAATATAGCAAAACAATATATTAGTATTTCTACATTCACTCGTTTGTTCTATCGTCTTAGTCATGCCGCTCCCGCTAAACTTTCAAAGCGATCTCAGAAAACTCGTTCGCTCAATCAACGAATCGGGAGTTCGCCATTAGATCAAACGTTCCACCCGTCCTCAAGCCCCACCCGAATAATAAATTCAATTCGACTTAAAATCATTTAACTCGGCAAAGATAATTTTAACATGACCGCATCTTTACCGAATTCAGAAACTTCGTATTCAGAAAGTTCGGTAATATTAGCACATTGTTCCCAGATATTAAAGCAAAACAAGGGAGCTTGCCACTGACAGACGTGTTCTGACATCTAGATTCGCTGTAATATTTTGTTACGGAGATGCATTTCAAATTTCAATTAAAATTGATATTCTAGTAAAGGTAGAAATTGTTCACAATATCTAAACTTGGAAAAACAACAACCTTATAAAAACCCTCAAGTACTATTCGAGCTACCAGAAACCTTACAGTATATTTCAAATACTGATTATTAAAGTGGTAAAGCTTACAACACCCAATCATTGTTTTATCTAGCTGAAAGAAAGCACATAAGATTTTAACTTAAATTTTTTTTTTTAAGTGTTAAAGAGTATTTTACGAAATACAGCGTTATCAATGTAATCATATTAAACGTTCTTTCCGTAATACATTTGCGTACAAAGCCGTAAATTCATTACATATATTTTACCTAATCTCTATTTTTAACATGTCATCAACAGATACTAAGACTGTCTACGTGTTGTATAGTATCCTATAAAATTTATAATTAAATTTGTACATGCATCTCGTAATGACATTCACCATCGTTATACATACATATAACTGGTTATTATTCCCTCGCAGCTTATGATGAAGCTTCCAGTGGGTAAAAGAATTTTCATGAATTTACCCCCCAACAAAGTTTAAAACTAGCTCTTGATAATATTAGTATAGATATACCTGACTAGATCTCCAATAACGGCAAGCGTATATGTACTCTCCATCGACGTCGGGTCTTCTATTTTGCACTCTGATGATATTTAGCCTCTTTCGGGCCACCAAATCCCAAACACAGAGTGCTTCTGTTGGCTGCCAACTGCCGGTGATGCAGTGGTCTCTCTACATATTTCACAGAAAATCTCTTACAAATAATACATGGTTATGTTTATTTCAAATGAAAGAGGTAAAACACACTTTAAAAATAGCTTTAGAACCCGTTTTAAAAATTCTTATTTATACACATTTCTACCTAACCAGCTTTCCGCCAACATGGTCCTTAGAGAACTGTTTATTTAGATATAGATTTATATTAATATATGACAGGGATGTAATTATAATGATTATTTGAATAGTAAACAATGGTTACTATGGTTTACTTTCCTATACAAACTTCTACTCCTACTTTCATCCCTTTATTTGCTGTTTTTCGGTATAAAATACAGCTTATGTTCACCGCATATGATGTAGCTTCCTGTAGGTGAAAGAATTTTAAAATCGGTCCTGTAATTTCGGGACTTATTTGTTGCAAACAAACAAACAATATTTCCTTACTAGATTACGTCATCTCTATTCACTAAGATACCAACATTGTGGAAATATGTAATTTTTAAGAATATGAATGAAACAACTCATAAATGAGGTTATTTTCAAATGATAAAAAAAAATATTGTAATCGAGTCTTCGATAAAAAATATTCTATATGTATCAAAATCTTCACGCCAGATCCCTTGCGGGTTAGGCAGAAATAAATATCCTTTTTATACACTTCTTTCGTTTCTTTGATATTCATAACAATACATAAATACAATACTAGTCGATTTGTATGGCATCTGAAATTATTTATAACCAGCAATCAACTTGAACTTGACCTGCCCCGTTTTTTACATTCAAAAATAAAATCGTAATTTATCGTAACTTCACAACGAATTTGAATCTGTTTTTCGTCAATATGAAGGGTTATGTATAACAGAACCACACGTGGGAAGCCGCTAGCAAAAAGCTAGTTGTTTTTTTTATAAGCCGTCGTCGTTATTCTCATTTTACTCGTTCGTCACTGCTCATATAACCACTTAATTCACTGAGCACGTGGCAAACTAATGACAAAAAGTTCCTCCACCTAAAGATAATGCTATAACAGTTATTAAATACCCCTCAAAGCGAACAGCAAACTATGAAGCATCAAAGTTCATAACGAGAAAAACTGCCAAGTCTCCCACGACAAAGGCAGAGTTTTTAATTAAAAGTGCCTTCTCGTATTTAGTTTTCCATCACATAAGTATCTAATGTTGGGAACATTTAAAACAAACTTCAACATAAAGCATTGTAATACCTGGATATTAAAAAGTCGCAAGCTGTTAAACTAAAGTAAAAAACCGTATCTAACAAATTGCAGCGAAACGTCAATAGTAATTAGATAACGATTAATATCAAACGTTCTGTATTTTCAATCGGATTAAATTTACCTTTAACTATATTCATTCATGTATATGTCATACGATGTAAATTATTAAAGTTTATACAATGATGATGCCACACAAAAATATTAGATTTACAAAATTAAGATCTTTATTTTTAGACAAATATACATTATTTTAAGTTTTTTTAAATTAAAATTGTAAGCTATTAAACTCCAACGTGTCAATAAATTTCATTGTAATGTCTGTCAGTTAAGCGTCGATGATAAAAGTGAATCATAATTTATACTAATAGATACGTTCAAATAAAATACCTTGTTTTCAATATTCCTTAGTTTAGGCTCACTTTTCTAGTTAACTATTAATTTACCATTAATAAACAGGTTCTTTGTATTTTCTCTTAATTGCTTTGTTTTTAAATGAACAAACGTTAATTTTTCAGTAAGTAAAAGAGTAAATAGATAGTTAATAATAGATTCTGGTAACAATTAAATTATTGGTCGTCTAGATCTTTATTATAGGATGTTTAACAATAATTGGGGAGAAATGAAAAGTAAATTACATAGTAGATGTGTTTTTTATAGTGGATATCTAATCATCTCACCATCAATGCCAATTGAAAAATATACAGTCGGTAAAAAAGTGGTAAGAGTATGCGAGCACAACGTTAAATGATAATCTTTATTTATTAAGATGTACAAAACAGGTGTCAACCGGGTGAAAATACAAATTAAAAGTATGTTTTACAGCTATCAAGGTTGTGACCCTTCACATATACATAACGCAAATTTAACAAAAATATGCATCTTTATACTCAAATAACTATTACATTCTTTATAATTAAAATTTTTGAATAACATTATCGCTAAGTCACTAAATAATAATAAAAAAAAATTATAAAATTTTTTACACCAATGCGTTAACAAGCTTTCTCTTAAAAGTTAATGTATTACAGATGAAAATATCAATATCCGATCCATTACCAATGAGTTCATTATATCGGCGGCACATTCTAGATATAGGATTACTTACCAAACTCTCGAAAATTGGTGGGACACTAAAGAATATCGATAATTTGACAGTTTCGTTCGAATTACGCCTAAGAAAATACGATATATGTACACATTTAAAATAACATCACTAAAAGTTGGTGACGTAATATGGTTAAAGTACGTTCGCAAACTGTCGAGATTGCATGCCCAGAACCAAGATCGCGCGACCATAGAAAGCAAAAGAATATTGTTTAGTTCCTTATTATGTTCATGTTTTATTTAATTACATTTATAAAGATAAATGTAATTACTACTAAGTATCACGCCAGAACTATAAATCTAATAACATCATATGAAACTCTCACGTCAAACACGCTAGAAATGTAACAAGACAAGCAATATTCTTGCGT